CCGACCAATCTACGCCAACTAGTATCCAATAATACATGAAACTATAGAAGTAAAATGATTTTTCCACCTGACGATAATGGAATTGAAAAAAAGCTTACCAGTTATATATGTGGCTACTCCTTCCATATTCTGAACATCACGGTTGGCCCCAACAGAAAATAATAAAACAGAAAGAAGACAATTTGAGCTACAAAATTTTACAATGACAGCATCCAAATAAGATTGTGATTGGTCCAATGGTGATAGAAGTTACTATATTACAATACCTTTTAGCTGTTGTTCAATAAATGCTTTTCCGATTTCAATAAACAAAGGATCAGTTGCATCAAGAAGATATGTGCAACACCATCTGGTATCACTGTTCACAGTAAACCTGAAACCGATAATCAATTGTGAATAAATACCAGAAGATTGCGGCATTATGCTTATTGAAATTATGCACTTCATTTCTATCAGCAGTTGAGGACTCAAGTACATAATTAGGTTATCAGTTCTAGTACAGGTCTGCCAATATTACTTAAACTTCTTCATAGCTCATCTCATGGTATATCGTGTTGTTTAATCGAATAAAAACCATAACTGGGTGATTTTTTTCATGATTGTGTCACTTATTAAAAACAGATATAACCATCAGAAGACACCATTTCATAATAGAAATGTTTGTCTTTGCAATCAATCAATAGAGAAACGTTAGAATTAACTGGACATCATACTTGAATAGTGTCCAATATTTTCAGCAAATTAAGTACTTCTAATCATAGTCATGTCATCAAGAAGGATCAGTCCAAACTTTTTTTATTTCTTAAACTAATTTTTTGTCCTATAACATTAAGAAAAGATACAATTGCACAACAAGCTTACTTACCTATTTTAAAAAAGACTCAGCCATACTATTAATTATTTATTATCAAAAGTGCTAATTAAGTGAACTTTGTAATTGACCACTTTAACTTTTAATAATGTCCTTATCTCCCAAGAATACAGCTTATTAGAAAAGGTGATTATAGTCAAAGATTGTGAATGAACTAATATAAAAAGACAGTGAACAAGCAGATCATAAAGAAAAGCAACGTGTCTATTTATAAAAATGAGCAACGTTCTTTCTAAAATGAGCAAGTCTGGATTCAAAAATATCTCTAGCATCCACTGTTTCTTTTGCATTTCTTAATTATATAGGACCAAGAAAAAATAAGTTGAAGATAGGATTAAGGAGAAACAGCATAATCAAATATGAAAACAAGGCAAATCTTTCCAACTAGCTAATCTTCTCTTGTTATCTCCACAATAAATCCAATAGAAAGATTGAAAGAATCCAAAGGAAATTAAGGGAACAGAATAGTAGATAGAGGCGTTAGCTTCTTTAAATCACCAATCAAGTACTTTGTGTTAAAGTAGATATATACCAGTTCCCCAGACGACTTATCTTTGCTGATGGAAATACACGCTTCAGTGCTGCCGGAACGTTTCCAGAAAAGGCTGGAAGAACTGAAAGATGCACGAAATCAACTTAGGAATACTTTATTGAGACAACAGCACACAGAGGTCAAGGGCACACTTTTAGCTTATACAGATTCTAATTTTTTTAAGCAATTCCTTAATTTGTTTTAACCAATCAAGAAAGTGTTAGGAATTAAACAAGGAACAGATTACCATGATCATTTAATATATAAGGAATTCCACATTAAGCAATGAATAATTGCATGAAAGCTAAACTTTAGTATACAAGAGCAACCTTATAGCTTACTTTCATCTTCATATTTCTCTTTTTTAGTAAACCTGTGCCTCTACTTCATCAAAATTGTATATAACTTAGATGCATGATCAACTTCTAACTCCTTTCTAGCCAAAATATGTTTTGAAAATATGCCTTTCTCCGTTAGGATAAGCAGGTGAGTTTAAGAGTGCTTTCAACACATTATATAATAATAATTGTACCTGGTGTCATCCCAAGCTCATACATTCTACCAAGAATTTTCTTCTGCAGAATGAGTTGCTGATCAAACCAACTTTGCGGAAGTGGCCCACCCCATCTATGATAGATGCATTATGTTTGAAAATTCAAAAGAACAGAATTATAGTAGAAATAAGAACACACAAGCCAAATTGCTTATGAGAGAAGTAACTATTGAACCAATGAAACAAAGTTGAATGCCAGAAAAAAATCTGTTTATGTTGAAAAGCAAACTAGCTCCTGAATGACTAAGCATTAAAAAATAACACCATCAATTTCTGTGAGTTATTTAGGTAATGCAAATTTTCAATTACTACAAATGAATTTATTGCAAAAATTTCAACAATTTGATTGCAATGCATGATGCAAAAAGAACTCATTTCTTCAAAAGAAGCACCATTCCCCCAATTTTGATGAAGCATAACTACAATGACACGTGATTAGACAAGTGAAAATATTAGATGCTTAAAATGGAGTTTAAGGCATTTGTACTAATTAGCTAGCTGCACACTGGCAAAACCAATCCTCTACTTTTTCAGTTAACAGAACACCAACTCTTGGGACTTCAATAAATTGTATCCATAGGTCAATGACTAGAAGCTCACTTATGTAGGTTTCCCATACGTGACCATGCAAGAAATGCTGGACCACCAAAGAAATCATCCAGATTTGAAGTGCTAATATTGAAGTTCTGCACAAATAAAAACCATTCATCAAATATATAAGTACGCAAAATCAAGCCAGTAAAGGACACAGCAAGGCCAATGTTACATCGAAAGGGACTTAATAGTTTTTTGAAAAACCATGATGTTTGAGCCAGCTTGCTCACATCTCAAATATTTTACTAGGTACCTGCTATCTTTCACCAGACCAGATAACTCTGCCTATTAAGGCTCAGGTAGATGCAAAGAAATCACCTAATATTCTTTGTCTCTCTTGGAATTTGAACCTTGGGCACCAATGTTTGCACCCACTTCATTGATCACTAGGCCACATCCTTGGGTGCTCCAAAGAGTCTTCATATTATACTTAAGTTCAGACGTCTCAACATGTTCTACATTAAACATGTATCCACTGTAGCAAACTGAAGAATTTAACAGAAAAGTTGAAGTTCAAGAAGTATCTTCAAATGGAGCAGTAGATCACATAGTAATGGGCTTTTAAGTGTCCAGAATCAGAGTATCCTAAAAGTATAGATGATGATCAATTTCATATCATCAACAGTAGCATCCATATAAAGATTGAAGAATTTGATTTGTCCTTCGTCAATGTACTAGCCAAAGATAAGGGCTCCATTACGTCAAAGCTAGTTAATTGCTGATTCCATTGGTCAAATATAACTTTACTAAGTTAACTTAAGCAGCTTTTTGAGTTTCTGTACCAAAACTTTTGACTTGAACCTTTCACCCGACATCTACACTTTTTCTGCCTAAACTATCTCTTTGAACAGACTCCATTAGAGCCTCTTTCCTTTTTGATTAT